AAGTATCGACATATGTTAATTTTTTTTTAGCATTAAATTAAAAAAAAAAAAAGTAATTAAAAGTTCATTATTAAATAACAGAAGGAATTAATTAATCTAAACATAGAATTTCAAGAAATTGCTAAGATTATACATGTGAAATCTTAAAAAACATTTATACGTACGTATACTTATCGCTATTTCAAATTATATAGTATAGTTATTGATTGAGAATTTTATGAATTTTGTATAGATAACGATAATGTGTACAAAATTCATAAGATTCATAAATTTTAATAACCATCTAATCTAAAAATCATTTACAGTTTAAGATAAAAATTTTAACTATTTTTACTTTATCTTCCTGTAACATGACACGAAAAAAACTTATTAAAATTTCAGCTTTAGCCGCCACAATTATTAAAGGATAGTCTACTTGAGCAAATTGTGGGCTTTGAATAACTTCTCGTAATTCCTCAGGTGTTCTATTGATATCGCTAGGTAAATGTGGGAACAAAGCTGAACAAAACAAAATCAAAAAACGGTTATGATCAATAAATCTTAAAATTTTTTAAAAATAAGAGGTGTTAGCATGTTATACTACCGGACGCTATTTCAGGGTCGTTTAATAATGGGCTGATATAAGAGGGTGTGATAACATCAATAAGATTCACATCTACATATGAAGAAAAAAGTTTTTAACATATAAAATTATTAAGATAATATGAATACTTAATCTCTTACCAGACTGTTGGTTTACACCTTCTATATTAATAAAATATAAAATAGTTCGAATTAATGTTGAGCCAAAACGATAATAAAAAAAATTACTCACCTGGAACCTGTATTTCGGACAAAATATTTCTCAGATTACCTAGCTGCTCAGGAGTAAGCATGTTTTCAGATGTTTGTGCCCCAGAGCCAGCCTCTGAAGTTGCAGCTGTGGTCGATTGTGGTTCACTAGCGGGTGTAGTAGATGTGATGGGCAAGCTTCCACTTTGAATAGAATACTAATATTAATCATTTACGATTTTAAAGTTCGTGATCATACAGTTTATGAAGATCTTTTTACCCGAAGGCACTATGTCCCTGAAGTAATTGCAATATCTGTTCCTGATCCACTTCAAATCCGGATAAGTCATCCATTGTACGAAAAGGGCTACCCAGTGGACCAGTGCTACTAGTACCTTGTTGCCTACTTTCAGTCAATCCATTAAGCAATCTATTCACCTTATTAACATTCTCTTCATCTTTATCATCTTTTGCATCTTGCATCCAAAAGAACAATTTTTGAGATGATGATTTAAAATTGAGTAAATAAACTCGACCAGTGGTACATTGTTCTACACGAATAAATTCTGCTTCTTCAGGGAACACTATTAAATCCTATATGATATGATTGTTAATACGAGTTTCAGATAAAAGACACACTATACCGTACAAATAGCATACATCTTCCACAGTTCCAGTTTTTCTGTCTTTCCAATAAAAATGCATCAATGAGTCATCGCCCTTTGTAAGGAGTACAGGAAAAAAACTGGTTAAATCAAACGGCCCTAGTATTTTACTAAGCAAGAATCAGTACTAACCTGATCCATATAAATAAGACTTCAGTTGTTTCAGCATAAGAGTTTATTAATATGAGTAGAGTAAAAGCATAAGGTCAAACATTTTTACAACACACCCTTTCCTCTCGTCCGCTTTTAATGTATTCGATGTTCCCTCTCGCTTAAGTTTGCCAGCTTTAAATTCCACAGGGTACTTGCGTCGTGGAACTGGTGCAGGAAATAGCGAAGTCGACATTGTAAAAAATCTTTAAAATATGTAAGTATGAAGTTGAACTAAGTTCTACATACCGGTTTTTTTTGGTATAAAAAGACATATTACGTAAGATTGGTGGCTTAGCCATTCGGAGTACGTACGTACGTATGTATATTACAGTATTAACAATATTTTTTCCCAATACCTGCTACGTACTCACGCTTTATGGTTTGTGAAGTAATATACGTGCGTACATAGATATATATTTATTGAGGTTATTGTGACGATGCACCAAAATTTTATTTTGATACATTCTTGTATTTGTTTATGATACGCGCGCTAAGGCATAAAAATTAGCAGATATATACGTTCCGCGTCAATTCTTTGAAATTGATAGATGATACTTGTAAACTTAAAACTAAAGGGATATATCTTGTATTATAAAGGAAAATAATTAATGATGAAAATTGCTTTGTTAATAATGATAAAAAAAATCGAGCGTATAAACTGTAAGTTACGAACCTATTATCCCTTAAACCGT